TAGTAGTAGTAGTAGTAGTAGTAGTAGTAGTAGTAGTAGTAGTAGTATATAGTAGTAGTCGTAGTAATAACAGTAGTAGTTGTTGTTGTTCGGAAACAGTGATGATGCTTTCTGTTCATCCGTATTCGGGAAATGAATGTGACATGTTTTAGTCAAGTTTATCCGGAATCCCGATAGAGATGCTGCTGTTTGCCATGAGATGCAGAGTTCAACGGCACACAAAGCACATGTAGCTGCAAACCTCTTACCAAGCAGTTTACCCCCCCTGCTGCAAGTCAATCAACTCTGATCAAGTGATATAATCACCAAGTCAGAAAAGCACAGTGGTTGGGGGGGACGGGCGATGGGAGAGTCTCTCTCAAACTCCCCCAGCTCCCCCTCAGTGCCTCTGGAGATTCTCTCGATCATATGCCTCTTGAAGAGCCCAGAGTTCCGCCTGGCAGCTTCGAGCTGCGAGCGGCTGGCCGTCTCAAACCCGTCTCAGCCCAGTAGTGAGACCTCCAACACCCCCCGCCCGTCTCCTCTTGGGACACATCCAACGGGGGTACAAAGTCGAACCGCAATCACATCATGTGGTTTCTACGAACCGCAATGGAGAAGTATGTGAGATCGAAGGCATCATGGTCACATCAAGCCGTAAAACCTTTGGGGGGAGGCACATTTCCGCTCCACGCTCCGTTGCAGGTCTGGGCACTAGTCGTGCTTCATTATTTTTAAACTGGTTGCTAATTCGCCTAATTGTGACATTCCAGCCAGAGTGGTTTCAGGTTCATGATGCTGCCACCTTCTTGCTGACCCCCGCTCCTCCCGAGAAAAACAAGATAACAAAGAATAACATACTGCTATCAGGCCCGACCAAAATAGGTCGAAACCAACAACGCGGAGCCTAGTTTCCTCTTCCATATCTCTCAATTCATGGGCCGCCGGTTCACCACAATAAGCAAAGACATAATGACCAAAACATACCAAAACATCTGTTCTTCTTGGATAGTGCCTTGTAACAGTCTAAGAGCACGTGCTTTGCCCCAATGCTTCCAAGGTATGTTTTTAAAATGCACGTTGTTGCAAGAGCGTTATTTTTCGTTTTAGTGTTCTATTTTTGTGTGAAATCCACCTTCCCTCGATTGACCCGTTGTCGGGTTGTTTGTATGCTTTGTGAGGCCAGGTTCTATGGCGAATCATGCCATATCATGCCTCTTCCACGGCAAAAAACGGGCATTCTACGACGTCAAACAATATTATCCCTTCTACGGTTTGTCTACGGTTGTTGAGCTGGGCCGGAGGCAAGGATAGGCAGGCAAGAAAATAGTCCTTGTTTTGCCATAAGCATGCTTTCCGGAATGAAGCCTAGGGATCGGTTAGTGCTCGTGCTCCGGGATGTAGTCCAACGTGTTCCCTACCGGGACGCCCAGGCCCTGAACCCCCTGAAAACCCATCGGCTGCCTCCGTCGTCCGTCCCGCAGACTTCAGCAAGACAGCCATCCCAGGAGCTTCGCCTTGGTGGGTCGGAGAAACAAAAGCTACAAGGGAGTGACTTGTTTCGGTCGCACCACCCAGCCTCCAGCATCCCCCGAGTTCGGGTCGAGCCCCCTGAAACATCCTCCACATCCTGTGGATACCAATTAGGCCACCGCAGTAGGTTGGAGGTTGGAGGCCATCGCTAGTAGGTTGGAGGCCATCGCTCCCAGGGTGAAGGCCATTCCTATTAGGTTGGAGACCATCGCTATTAGGTTCCTTAAAGTCTATCACCCTCCGTCGGTTGGAGGCCTCGCGGAATCTAGTGGATCCTCATCGAGTCCCTGAGAGTTATGACGCTTCTGCAGCGTACCAGAAATCGTGAAGCGATCATCGATCACTGGCGGTGGGCTCATGAATTTCTGTTTTGTCATTTTTCCCCACCGGGGGTGCTATGGTGGGTCGCCAGTAAAGTGATCATAGATTTTGATAGATTTTGTGTCATTCATTCTGAGGCTGAGATGAGCAAAAGGATTCCTTAGTGGAGAATGAACAACATCCTGATTTCGTACCTTGGTCTTCTTCTGGGTCAGGAAAGCACCTTAGGCCATCCACTGCTCTTGAGTCAATCATGACAGCAAGGCGTTCCAATCTATTCCTGCGATTCTGTGCGCTTGTAGATTGAAAAGGTTATGGTTATGTGGGTGATCATCCCAGAAGCAATCCACAAACAAGACCAGCAAACAAGAGGACCCACAGATTTTCCAGGATATATACTCCTCCGACATGCCTCTGGGTTCGTTTGTTCAAGGTTTGTCTCAAGAGATGGGTTAGCTGAGCAGTGCCCCAAACTGCTGAACCACGTCAAGTTACATCATTCCTTTTCGATGCATTGCATCTGATCCTTCCGAATCCTTCCTGATTGGCTGCCCAACCAGATCAAACGTCTCCAAGACGGTATTTGCTGCGCATGGGCATTACTACTATAGTAGCAAGGACGCTAGTAACTGTGCTCCTGGCCTTACTACTAGGAACAAGAAGTTACTAGTAACAAAGGGCATCGCTACGAACGGAGCGGTCGGACGCTACTAACTGCCAGGACACCCAGCACGGTGACGGGAGGCTCGTTCCGCATCTTCCGCCGCTCGTTCCGGCGGATGTCGTGCTCCGCGGCAGGCGAGGCGACGCCGGGCACCTCCTGCTGTGAAGGGGCCCCCTAGGGGCGTGTCAAACGGACACGAAAGGCATAGCAAAACAAAAAACATCAAAAAGCACTTGTTTATATACACTGTGAAAAATCGTTCCAGTCTCTTCCAGGTTCCTATGAGGAAGGACCATAGGCTTAACAAGGCTGTAGGACAAGAGAACAGAGATCGGATTTTTGTCTCCACTTCTCTCCTCTTGCTTGAATTGTTAGCTTATTCTCTCTATCACTGTTTCTTTGCTACTTGCTCATGTTGCTCTCTGTTCTGAATAACTCGCTCGTTGCTCTACGTTTCTGTAATTAAGCTTGACTCCGACTCCTTCCGCAATGTTTTCTGCTTTTGGTTGCTCTGCACTTCTCTTCTTCACCTGTTCACTTATAACGTGTCTTCTTTACTAGCCTCTGCTTTGTCTGCTTGTATCCTTTTTTTTTATCTCTTTTGTTTGTGCCTATAAGTGCGTTGGCATTTCCAAATAGACCAACGTCATCACTACACTGTGGTCAGTGTCACATTCATGTCTTGGAAATCAACGTATCAAAATCATTAGCACACATTGCCATCCTCAAGACGTGTTATCGGATCACCATCTAACAAAGCTGGCGACAGGTGGGTGGGGGTGGAATCAAATCGCTTAATCGCTATCCCCTAAGAATCCGCACGGGCCCATGGCAGGGGTCGGGCTCGACACTTTCGCAAGGGGTCCGGGCCCAAACCAAATCCCATGTGTTTGAGGGACCGGATTCTTAGCTACCTCCAACCTAAGAGCGATGGCCTTCAACCTAAGAGCGATGGCCTTC